GGAGGAAGAAGCATAAAATAAAAACACAACTCGCATCAAAGATTGGCTCGCTGCGGAGAGCCGCATATTCAATAAGTGAGATGGTCTGCGGGTAAGAGCTTTACCTCTCTCAAGCAGTCAAGCAAGCTCACGGCTGAGAGAAGCTTTGCGCACCCGGCCAGCAACGAATCCATTTGGCCGTTCGCGCCCCTAGATCATAAACTGTTACGAGCGAGTAAATCCAGCGGACGAACGATTAAGACATTCCGAGAGTTATGCACATCGAACGGTTGTTTTGCGTGCTTGGCGAGAAAAAATAAATCGAATAGAAATCGAGTGCTATTTTGGAGACTCACGCATCTGATTGGCCATTATTGTTCTTACTGAAATTGCAGTCTTGAAAATGCAAATGGGCATTCGACATTTTGAACAATGAGAAGCTATTATTTTGATCAACATCGAGGCATTGCATGTGCAATTTTTATCGAAAACAGCTCGAGGCTTGCCATTTTCTTGATGCCTCAGCGAAGTATTGAAAATACAATTGTGCAAAGTGAACAATGGTATTGCCGGGAGGATCCCAGTAAAAATAGGACGTGCGTAGTAAAGCAGAAGCATATAAGGATTTTCCTGAAAAGGCAATATTGCGGTTGGAATGAAGCATCAATTTATGTTACGCCAGCAAGATTCGCTCGCAGTGATAAGAGACGTCGCAAAAGAACACGTACGTGCTATTGTATTTTTCCGACTTTTCGCCGAGTGCATATATAAAGCGCGAAGCTTTTCGAGTATAATGAAAGAGCGATCTTGGAAAACGGGCGAGCAGCAAGCGAGAGAGAGGGGGAGAGAGAGAGAGAGAGAGGGGAATAAAGGCTGCAATGCGTCTATAGAGCGGAAAATTACAGAAGCATTTATCTTGATCTGCCCATGACTGGTTGCTGGTGCGCGAGTAGAGATGCCTCGGGCTGCCTGCTCACTGCGCAAGTGGTCCGGAAAATGTCTCGAAGGCACGTGCGTGCCAAGCGGAAGAACCGCAGCACGTCTCGCTAGATACTTCGCCGCAGACCCGCGATGCATCGGCTTCAGCGTTAAAGTTGCACGCCGCGCCGCCCCACAAGTAGAATCAGACACGTGCTATTTTCTATGCCTGCTCCATTGATTCCGATGTATCTTTATCTCTTCAATTGCATTTCCACTTTTTTCCACCTTACTTTTTTAATATGATCTTGAAAAATTATTCTCGTTCCAAACGTTATTCAATTGAATAATTGCTTATTTTGTTGCGTTAGTTCCATTCTGGCTAGTAGGAATAATTTTGTTATTAGTATGCTATGAAATATTTTCATTATATCATTGCCTTTCAAATGTTTTTATATGTTTTTTAATTTATTTAACAATAATCTGCTGGTTACCTGCTATCAACTACACAAACTACACAAAAGGAATTTCCTCTTGTTCATAGGAATTGGATACAGATATTTACATAAATACTTACGCATTAAAATTTAATCTAAAAACATCATCTAGAAAATTTCATACATTTCTTGTTATCCTCATTGTGATAGTTCTTTGCTATAATAGTTTTTGTTTGACAATTTTTTTATTACCAAATAAAACATTTAATTCATTGAGTATTATATTAAATATTTAAATTGTAATAATATAACTACTGTTATTATATATTATTTTGTTAATCTTAAGAGTCTCAATACTTTTAACTCTTCTTTTGCTGTTTCAGTTATTATCTTTTGTAGTTCATCGTAATGATAACATTAGGATTTAAGTGCATAATTTTGATCTAGTCACAGTTGATAAGTTTCTTTTATGAATTTCTATTTACTTATTATATTTTTAAATTTGTTTTACAAGTTCTGAAGTGAGTAAAAATACGTATTCTAACACTCGCCATACTTGAATTCTCGTATAATTCATAATTCCACAAAAATATGCGTAGTATATTTGTAGCAGTATTTTAGTACTAGTAATTTTTCCTAAAATAAATACCAAACATTTCGTTTTATTGACAATGTAATTAATATTATCAACATAATCGGATTATCATTAAGTAATTATTTATTACTCAAATGAAAAAGTTATCATTTATTTAAAATACGCGTTTATTATAGTACAAGTGGCATACAATTTACGCCACATTAAGATCACGATATGTAAAATATTTTATTTTGTTTGATAAATCTTAATAAATTTGAGGAATTCAAAACTCATTATCAATCTATTGGAAGCATTATAACGAAAATTTCATTAAGTCAGCGCTTCCTCGTGCAGGCAATTACATTTCTTCAAATTCATCCGAGCGATGGGTCGTTGGCGACCACCCTTTCCTTCTTTACAGTTGGCGAGCTAAGAGAAGATCCACTTGAAAAGATGTCAGGCGACAGCCACTTATTGAATTTGAAGGTGAAAAGAGGGAAAAGGTAGTGTCTTCTCTAGAAATCTTATATTGGCCTCCTACTTTCCTTGATTTCCTCCTTTCCTTCTATTTTATTTGTTGTCTTGAACCTTTATGCACTTCTTTTTTCTTCTCTTATATTAGCTCATCTTGCCTCTATCACTTCCATTTCCGCTCTTCACTGTTTTTGAAGTTCTCGTCTCGATAAATCATGCAATCCATTCTGTTGCTTTTAATTATAATTAAAGAATTTGTCGTTGGCAACAACTAATAAATGAAAGTATTTTTCAATCCAGCCATGAGAAATTAAAGCTCCAACTGCTTCTGTAATTTTCATTCACTTTTGTTTCTTAAAATGTCAATTAAAAATTGATAAATTCAACAACAGACGTTCGCTACGTTTTATTTGACAAAGTAAAGCTGCCATTTGCCTGATCTTTATGAATTCTTGATTCCGGGAAAATCTGACATAGCTGTCGTAAACTGAGTTCGAACGACTTCTAACTCTTGATGCTTCTTTGTTTCTTCTCGTCGACTTTTTTTTCAACTGTACGCTTTCCTCGCCACTCGGGATTTCGGGCGTCGTTCTTTATTTGGCTTCCGCCGCAACTTTCTTCTTTTCTCTACTCGCAGCGTCACTTCCGTGTTAAATCGCTTTTTCACACCTTGGTGACAAGCTCGAATGATGCTTTCAAGAGGAACACTTTTTACTTACTTATTTTGATTTCTTTAGTACCTTTAAATATTCACGTTTTTAAACTACAAATCAAATCTAACTACTTTTATATTTCATCTTCATGACTAGAACAATCTGTCCCTTCGGTCATTTCAAACAAATTAAATTTATCAATGCTGTTTCAATCTTCCAGAAATACATTAACGTACACCCAATGAAGGTCGCTAATTGCTCTTGAGATGTTATATAAATAATAGAGGTTATATTGATTCTGCAGTACTGCTAAGTTAATATTGTAGATATGCTGATTGCGTACAAGGTTATACGATACCATACCTCCTTAAGCAAATAAGAAAACAATCAACATTGTCATTATAAATTTATAAAAGCTAGTGCTCTTTCTTTTGTTTTTACATTATTTATTACGTTATTTGAACCTTTTTCATGCCAACTTGGAGATTATTATGACCATGAATAATTCATGTTCTTTGAAATACACTGATAATCAATCGATATTTATTGATGAATAAAAATAGAATTTTGTACCCATTATTTCACAAAAATCGATGAATTTTTACTCATTTCAAGATATATCGAAACAATTATTCAAAATTAATTTAACCTGCCATTGATGGAACGTGCTAAGCTATTATACTATTATGCAATATTACACCTTAAATATCAATAGTAGTGGTTCCGCCCCCGATCTTATATTAGTATGAGTAATACATTTAACATCATGTGTTTTTTGTTACCTCGTTGAAAACACCCTTAAACATTCTTCAAAATTTAACGGGTTTAATATTATGATAATTAATTTTTGTTGCTCGCACACCGCTGAATTTACAATGTACAAAAAATAATAATGTATTTTCCTCTATTTTGTTCTATTCATTTTCTCTCTTTTTCTACCGAATTTGAAGACCACAACATCAATCATAAGTTATAAAATTATGGATTTTTACTGACAATTTGAAAACATAACGTCTTACGTTCTCAAAACGATTTATTAACGGTATATTTTCATTCTTACATATTATTATTCATATTAATTATTCAATTGAATTTATTACGCTCCAAGATATATTATCAAAATATTTCAAAGTATAAAAAATTCATAATTTCGCGCTCTCTTTTAGCATCAACCAGTCACAGCGCTGGATACCGGCGACTCAACATTTTTTAAGATAGAATTTGTCATTTAATAAATAAATGTAACATTCCCTCCATAAAAATCATTCCGAAATTTAACTGTATTTTATTATGAATATAATACATGAACATATTATATTTATAACAAAAGCATATTGCAGTAGAAAAATATGGCTCAATAATCAACCAAATGGTAGTTTCTATAGAACAATAGCAAAAAGTTTCAAGGTCGAAATTTCTTGAATTGACAGACATCACAAAGTCTAACCTAGCAAAGGTAAAACTTGTAGGTCGTGAGAAGCACACAATCAGAGTAGTTCTCCCTTGCCATCCCTTAGCTTTAGAATCGGCAGCGGCAGGAGCCGTAGCTACTTCAGGCGGACAGGTCATTCGTCATGTAGGTAATTGAACACTGTTGGTCTGCATCCACCCACAAAGGCGATCCAAGCGATTCGGACTTCTATGCGTCGCACTTCTCGATCCGCCCTAGTAATTAATGTTACGGTGCTTCAATCCTACCAGCAAGTTCGAGTTCAATGGGACCCTGTAGTAGCAAATCAAACTGTTCTGAGATCGATTACGTTTAACTGATAATCAATAGACTCTTTTTTTACTAATAAACTGTTGTAACGTATTTAGCAAATAGTAAAAGCCTCAACTTGTTAATTAAACAAAGGGTTCCTTCAATTAACAATAATGCTAACGCATGTTTAATAATCTGAAGTAGTTTCCAAGCGCAACACTCAAGGGTAAACTAAATAAACTATTTTCTTTCTGTTTCAGACTAGTGCATCGCGAGTATAAAGGTCATCTCGTTAGGTAAGATTTTTGACAATCAAATCGTATAATGAAGCCAGTAAGTTCTTATCGATTTCGAGACTGCCCGAAAACAGCACGGAGAGAAAAGTATTTTCAGAGAAATTCCAAATCACCTTTGAAGGGGGGAAAAATAGAACAGGAAAATTCTGAAAAGTCGACGTCCCGGGCGGCAGAATCAAGCCACTCACATCCGGCTTTGGCGTAACACACGAGAAATTCTCGTATATAGAGCCAAGACGCACAGGAAATCCCTTTCAACCACTTCTTGCGGGGCGGCGTCGCCAGCGCCAGTTTCTTTCAATCCGAGACCCTAATATATACACGGTACTCTTCAGCGTTCGCCCGCGCAAAAAGCTGTCGGCGCCGCGCGCCTCGAAAAATACCTAAAACTTATTTATCTTAGCAGGCGCCTTATCTGCCGATGCTCTCTCGGGTTGATGATTTGAGCTGCGGCTCAATCGCGCAACAACATTAACGTACCATAAGCTGTTACCATTTCGCGCAACGAAGAAAATAAGCTGAAGAAAGGTTTTCTTCATTTCGAATTGTTTTGTTTGTCTAAAGTCCTGTAAGAATGCCTTCAAATTATTTATAAATTTCATTTGCCGAGAACTCTACTTATCAGCTGGTAAATATCTTCAGCCAAGAGGCAATCTGGCAGGCTGTTATTGAGTGATATCGCTAATGATAATTGCATCTTTCTCTGAGCTTTCTGTTCGCTGATTACGAAGCTTTAATCTTTTCTCCCGATGGATCTAATTTTAACGTTCAAAATTAAAATGTCATTATTTGAATCGTTCTAAGAATTGACGACAGATAATAAATGTAGCTTCGAATTTCCAAGTGAATGTTGGCTGATCAGCTGTCAACTCAGCTGCGAGTGCATGGCATTCTTTCTTCTTTCTCTCATTAGAAATTCGTAATCAACGCACCACTGCACGACGGTGGCGATTGTAAAACAGGAAATCGATCGCTTTATCCCACAGTGGCCTACGTGCCGCATAGATCTGATTTAATGAATTCTCTCTCCCTCCCCCCCTCAATAATCTAATTACGATCATTGAAGCATTCGCGTGGTTCAGGTGCTCGCTTTTCGATCATCACGCGTCGATGATCACAGGTAATCCGGGTTTCGCTGTTGCACGTAAATGCGCATAATCAAGTGGAATCCCTGCAATCTCAATGTGTCTCTCTTTGAGTATGTCGGTGCACACACCCACGACTTGCATGTACCCACGCGCATTCGGCTCTATATGTGAATACCTAATTTTTTATAGGGCAACTTAATTCACAAGCCCATGCGTAGTCTCTGTGTGGTAAGTTTTCTTTTATACAACCTGAAACCGAAGTTAGATGTGTGGATGAATGAATTAATTCAGGATCAACTAGAGATTAGTTGAACATTCGTAGTAAAAGAAATCATGTAAAAACAATGGAAATAATGGAAAAAGAAATGTAGACTCTTTTACATGCTGTTGCTAAAAAAAAAAGAAAAACTTTCGCAAAAAGAAAAAGAAAGAAATATCGGTTAAAACGACACTAGAAAACTGGCACAAAGTAAAATAGAGAAAGGGTTGACAGACAGACAAGCAGGCAGGCAGACAGACAGGCAGGCAGGCAGGCAGGCAGGCAGGTAGACAGATAGACAGAGCTTTCGTTTTCGATGCAAATGCAGCCGATAGAAAATCCATAAGCTTCGGTCGTCCGCTGCGCCAGTGCGCATCGCAGGTTTTGCGGTGCGCGGGAGTCAGATCGAATACACACTGCTCTCCCCTTTTACTCTCTGATTTCGAAAGCGCGCCACCCGATGTGCTGCTACGCTCCCTCGTTCCAGGCCGACGTATACAATGCATTTTAAAAGATATTATTTCAACTAAATCTCTGTGCCGTGTGTTTTACTCATGCGCGTTTTTGCTGTTGTCGCGCCTTCGCCGTCGAGCCTATCGATATTTTACGCTTCGTTGGAGTTATCTCTTTTCGCATAGTTGAACTAATTTGTCCACTTGAGCCATTATTTTATCTGTCAAGTTGATCGTTCTCTTTTTCAAACTAGTGATGTGTAGCGTGTTTTGCGCGCTCATCTTTATCGACTTTTTCCACATTCATTTTAATGCACGAATATAGATCAAAACGTTTATTGACAAAATTGAAAATTCGAAAATTCAATACGCATTAAATATTTCTATGATTTGATATGAGATATAATCGACGATATTATTTATTTCTAAATAAATATGTAGTTCCATCGATACTCATGATTTGAAAATATTATCAATAAAGTTTTCTGTTTTTATTAACCGAAGTTCTGTGTTGAAAAATAATTATTCAAAAGTTTAAAAAACATGATAAATAATGTAATATAAGTTTTAAAAACATTATAGTTCTCTAATTATATCCTTGACTAACATACTTCGGTAGACGCTCGTGGTTTTGTATTTTCAAAAAAATCTTCTATTTTACGTAACTTAATAAAGGTTGTCACTGTACAATATTTTATCATGAAAGTTTATCGATAGCTTATTTCTACCTTTTATTGCCTACTTTATTTATTTGAAGCCAAATCTTCGCACAAAGCAAAGTTCAATTAATTTCTCTATCGATGTATCAGTCAGTTTTTATTTTGAGGTTAATAGGATTATATCAATCAGTTCATATTAAATTTATGCCCGCTATATTGAGGCACTTTTCGAACATTCAATTATCTACGAAAATCTACAGTAATCTTTCATAAACATACACGACATATTCCTATATAAAATAGCCCACAACAGTTGATCACGTGACTATTTTTCAGCCAATTCAGGTCATGAATAAACTGGCTTTACTTTGTCAGGTTCTCGTTTTTATAAGAAAAAAAGATTTTATTGAGGTTTCAATTTCTGCATTCAACGTGATTGTTATGATTGCATTGATAAAAAGAATTCTAGTTTGAGCTTCATTTTAGTGGTGATTATCTGGAGCTTTATGCACATTTATATATCGATTCGGGTCGATCGGTTTATTTCTATTTCTCGCGTAAAAATAGATCTGTATATTTTTGTTCTCGAATGTAGACCGTGACAAAACGGAAATTCGCAGGAAATTAAGTTGTTCTATCAAGTCTTGTTTTCTCTCGTAGGTGCACATTTACTTTTCATTTTTACTGTAGTTCGATAAAAAATAAAATTGCTAATACTTATCCGCGAAATGTAATTGAACCGCTTGTCGCTTTTAACGTACTGCTAAAATTAATATGGTCAATGGTATTGTTTAGAAGAAGCGAATCGGAAAGCAATAAAATAGCACTAAGAGTTGAGATTCTACTACGGCGATATCAATGAATTGGAATTTGGTGCGCGTCCTTTGGGAGAGAGGACACTCGAAAAGCCGCAGCCTTAGATCCACTTTCTGTGGCATACAGGAGATGCAATATGTAGCTTACAGGCAAGAAGCCATCCGGGCCATATGATCCTCTCCCATCCGTTATGAACCAGACACCAAGAAAGCGAGGTCGCGCGTAAAGAGGGAGCTAGCCTAGAGAAGAAAAAGAACTATTCATCCGCGCAACGGCGTCAAGTGTAAAAAAGGCGCAAAATATTCAGGCTCGAGTCGCTCAGAAATTCATAATTCCATCGGTGCTTGCTCTCTATCTTCTCAGTGTCTCGTAGAGGGTCCCCGAGCGAGCGACTCACAGTGAATAATGGACCTCGCGCGGTGACGAAGCACAGCTGCACGATTCGCCACTCGAGATAAGTGCTAAAAATATATAAGCCCGTACAGAGCCACGCTATATGCGCTCGTATTGTGCGTATGCGTCGCTCGCTGCTGCCGCTGAATTATGCTAAGTAATGAGATGGAAGCGCTAAGGCAAGTGGATCCGTCTCCTCGGGAGGAAGCGTGTCCGCTTCCTCTCTTTTTCCGCGTTAATCTGCCTCCGCCGTGAATTGCCTAATTAAAGGCAGACGCGCAATAATTGTCGTAACTGTTCGACTGTGACAATAACAAGCGGGCTGTTGCTTACGCGCAGCAGCACCTCGAATTAATCTTTGCTGCCGTCTGCAAAGCATAACTTTCGTGGACGTAAATCATTAGTACCCTGACACATAATTAGGCTTATAAAATGGCGCTCACGTAAATGATCAGTTTACTATCCCTCGGATGCGAAACTTGCACTCGCGCCGCTGCTGCTATTCATGGTTATGCCTTGCATTTACGTCGCCGCATCTCATTAAAATGGCATCAATTAATTCCCAAGCTCTCTCAGCTACGCGATATCTGAGTACGTTCTCAGTAACGCCGAGTTCTATGAGACGAAACCACGAGAGTTTTGATCTTTGGAATTGTATCTTGTTTCGGCTCGAGACAATTGAGTTGCGCGCGAACACTCGACAAGCTTGGCTAAGAGCATTAACGCTGAGCCAATCATTGGCTGCGCTCCTTGTCTTTCAACATTTTTTTATAAAAATTCAAAATTCAAAATACGTTCGTCAAAGCAAGTGCGTTCGTAAAGTAGGTCTTACCTTTTATTGCGACTCCGCGTTCTGCCTCACAAACGTGCAGCGTCAACTTTTATCATGCCTCGCTCCTTCCTTCGAGTAAGCCGCCAGAACGTCATCTTTTCGGTTTACCGTCCGGAACGGTTCTCATTGTCCGTGGGCTCAATAACTAAACACTATACGCACACAGTGAAACATTTGCTTCCTTATGGTGGCCCTACGTCAAGTGAGTTTGCGGGCAAAAAATCTGCTCAAAAGCAGATACATCTTAATAACTGTGCAATGACTTTTGTAGCGGGTAGCCTTCACTTCATTGCCTATGTAAAATTCTTCTCTTCTTAGAGCGAATCTTAGCTCATCCCTTAGTTCTTTGGATATGTACTATTGCTGAACCTGTCGTGCGAAAATCAACTTGATCGTGGTTGCGTGAACTCAAAAATTATTAGTTTTGCAACGGACAAATACATGCTCAATGAAGCGTTCCATTATTTGACGCAGCTCCCACAATACGCACGTCGAGGAAAA